CTGACTTCCCACTAAAGACTATCCGCCTTGACAATGCTGGTGAATTTACCTCACAAGCGTTTAATGACTACTGTATGGCCATGGGGGTAACCGTGGAACATCCTGTAGCACATGTCCATACTCAAAATGGATTGGCTGAATCATTCATTAAACGCATTCAATGGATAGCCCGACCATTACTCATGAGATCAAAGCTCCCGGCCTCAGCATGGGGACATGCAGTATTACATGGTGCTAAACTCATACGCATCCGGCCATCTAGTGAACACAAATATTCCCCATCCCAACTACTCTCGGGTCATGAGCCAGACATCTCCCATCTCAAAACATTTGGGTGTTCAGTATAGGTACCCATTGCTCCACCACATCGAACCAAAATGGGACCTCAAAGAAGGATGGGAATATATGTTGGTTTTGACTCTCCCACCATCATAAGAGATCTCTTCAAGGCCAGATATGCGGATTGCCAATTCGATGAATCGGTATATCCCTCTTTAGGTGATGAAACAAACAAGCTGGTCAAAGATCTTTCATGGAATCAAACATCATTAAATTGGCAAGATCCTCGGACTCTAGAATGTGATTCAGAGATCCAAAAGATTATTCATTATCAAAAGCTAGCTAATCAATTGCCAGATTCCTTTGCTGACCCGACCAAAGTAACCAAATCGTACATCCCAGCTTGTAATGCACCAGTACGAATAGCTGTCCCAACGGGACAGACCCAAGTTGCTACAGAGTCTGCACCACGTCTCAAACGGGGCAGACCTCTCGGTTCCAAAGATAAGAATCCCCGGAAATCAAAGAAAGGTGCAATAACCGAAACCGGGATTCCTGCAATATCAGACATAGCCGCGGCTGAGACTCAATCTAATGAACCCTCAATGGAAGTTCGGGACGTCGAATCTCCAGGTTCAGAAGATAACAATGAGATCTCCATCAATTACAATATGTCCGGAATACAATGGAATCGAAAAGAAGTCGACTTAAATGCACTCTTTGCATACAAAGTAGCACTTGATGTTGCGCTCACGCAAGAGGATCTAGAACCCACGTCAATAACACAGTGTACACATCGAACAGATTGGCTAAAATGGAAAGAAGCCATAAACGTGGAGTTAAAGAGTCTCAAACTCAGAAACGTGTTCGGTCCGATCATCCGGACCCCATCACACATCAAGCCAGTGGGCCACAAATGGGTCTTTGTGCGCAAAAGGAACGAACTCGGTGAAGTCGTTCGATACAAAGCATGGCTTGTAGCACAAGGATTCTCACAGAGACCCGGAATCGATTATGAGGAGACTTATTCTCCAGTGGTGGATGCAACAACATTCCGATTCCTCATAAGTCTGGCCATAAGAGAAAATCTTGATCTGCGGTTAATGGATGTTGTAACCGCATATCTCTATGGGCCCCTGGACAACGAAATATATATGAGACTCCCAGATGGCATTGAACTAAAAGACAAAAATGCATCTCGAGATCAATACTGCATCAGGCTGAACAAATCCTTGTATGGACTGAAACAAAGTGGGCGTATGTGGTACAACCGCCTCAGTGATTACCTCATCAAAGAAGGCTACAAAAATGACCCCATCAGTCCATGCATCTTCATCAAGAAGTACTCAAACAAAGGATTTGTAATCATAGCAGTATACGTGGATGATCTAAACATCCTCGGAACATCTGGTGAGATCTCCCAAACAGTCGACTGCTTAAAAGCAGAATTCGAAATGAAAGACCTAGGCAAAACAAAGTACTGTTTGGGATTACAACTTGAGTACATCAAAGGAGGAATCCTTGTGCATCAATCGGCTTATATCGAAAAGGTACTCAAGCGATTTAATATGGACCAAGCTCACCCATTGACCAGCCCAATGGTAGTTAGAAGCTTAAGTGATGACCCTCTTGGTTCCAAAAAGGATGATGAAGAAATCCTTGGTCCTGAAAAGCCATACCTCAGTGCTGTAGGAGCGTTAATGTACCTGGCTAGTCACACTAGACCAGACATATGTTTCGCCGTGAACCTCCTCGCTCGATATAGTTCATCTCCAACTCAGAGGCACTGGAACGGTATAAAACATCTCCTAAGATACCTTCGAGGTACTCAAGACTTAGGACTCTTCTATACTAACCAAAATAAAGATGGGTTAGTCGGCTTCGCCGATGCAGGATATCTATCAGATCCGCACACTGCCAAGTCTCAAACTGGCTACGTTTTTACGCATGGAGGAACAGCCATCTCTTGGAGATCAATGAAGCAGACACTCACTGCCACTTCATCAAACCATGCTGAAATCCTAGACATTCATGAGGCTAGTAGGGAATGCGTCTGGCTGCGCTCCATGACTCAGCACATCCGCAGAGATTGTGGTATGGACGAAGACACACAGCCCACGGTGATGTATGAAGACAACGCGGCATGCATAGCTCAGCTCAAGGAAGGATATATCAAAGGAGATCGGACGAAGCACATTCTACCGAAGTTCTTCTCAACCTCAGACTGGCAGAAGACTGGCAGAAGGACGGCACTCTCAGCGTTCAGCAGGTCCGATCCAGTGAGAATTCAGCTGACCTCTTCACCAAATCATTGCCTACTTCAACACACCGGAAGCTCGTCAAACAGATAGGAATGTATAGACTTAGAGATCTGCAGTGATGCTACAATCAGGGGGAGTAATGCGTGTTGTACTCTTTTTCCTTCACCATGGTTTTGTCCCACTGGGTTTTTCCTGGTAAGGTTTTAATGAGGCAATATTCCCCAGCGCATTATCGAGATCCCGATTGAGTAGCTGACCCGGTTCACTCGTCCAAGGGGGAGTGTTATAACACATATCATATATGGACTCTTATACCGGCCCATTAGGCTCATCAGGGCATTGTACTTAACCTAGATTCCCTATGTACTCTATATATACATTCCAGTGATTAATAAAGTTTCTAAGTTTTCACAACATATTCTACTAATTTTTCTTTGTTCTATGTAATGTGGAAAATGTATTTTACAAAGTTGTTAAAAGAATCTGAGAAAATCTAGGTTTTATGTACTTAACCACCAAAGAAAATATTTCCAAATATTCATTTTCTATTTTTTTTCCTATATTTTTTTACCCAGAATTTTCATTCACGTTTTTTTTTTCTCTTGAGGTTCTTCACGGTTTTTTCTACTTGTGCTTTTCTTCCACATAATTTCTTCAAGGTCCTTTAACTCTTACTGTCTCTCTCTCCCTTTCTCTTTTCATATACACACGAAAGCTCACTCTTATCTAGATTGTTTTCCAAACAATATAAGCTCGATCAGAGCTTTTTATCATATAACATGGCGAGAAAACTCAATTTATAGCCAAAATTCCATCAACAAGCACAAACACATGTCCTCTAATCCCTGGTTCATGGAAAATATGAAACCCAGTCAACACTCTTAAATCTAGTAAATGGATCTAGGTTCGTCGGTACGCACTATAGTTTCTTTAAACAGTAGCACTTTAAATAAAGCTGATAACGATGATCACTTAATTATAAGAAAACTCATGCATTACTATTATTGTATTCATAACATGTTAAATAAAGCTGATAATAATTCATGGTGGTCACTTATAAAAAAAAAAAACTCAACCGTTCTTCCTCTGTTTCTGTAACAGCAATATTTTTTTTAGTGGAATATTAGAAGGATGTCAACGAAAGAGCATTTAAACCTAAAAAATAAACAGAAATTATTAGAATGAAAAATTAAAGGTAATTTTGGGTTTTAATTAAAATAAATCTTAGAGGGACAATATCTAAGCTAATAAATTCTAAAAGGACAAATTGTTTGGGAAATTGTCCTAAATTTCTAATTTTCCCAAAAGTTAAAGAGGTGAATTTAATAAATTGAAAACTTAATTTGTCTAATTGATTATAATTCTATATGATACAGTGTTGTCCTAATTTACATTCAACTGTTTAATTAATTTGTTAAATAGCTAATGTAAACAAAACTCATGTTCTTTTACTATATTAAAAATTACAAATTAACAATTAATCAAATAGACTCTTCCAAAAAAAAATTTAGAAAATGGGCGATTAAGCCAATGTTTATTTTCTATGCCCATAGGATGACAGTAATCACGTGATGATGATTACAAGATCGTGAGATTTTATGATCGCCGCTTTCCTACGGGTGCCGGTGAAGCAGGGGCTGAGATTTATGAGTTGAAGACGAATTCCTGGAAAACTCTTGGTTCTAAGGTTGATTAGGAGGTTCTTGAGTGGTGCAGAGGCGTGGCTGTGATGGGTAACATGTATTGGATTGCTAGGAAGAAGAAGCAAGAAGACGACGTTAACATATATTACATCCTGGGTTTTGATTTCTCCGATGAAACATTCAAGAACATATGCGTCTGTGGCGGAGTTGGAGAATCAAGGCAGATTGATGTGTGGGTTTCAAACAAGTTGGCTGATGGGAATGTCTTGTTTAGCAAATGTTTCAGCGTGGCCCGCCACGATCTTCCCTAGTTTTTTTTTTTCTTGTAGGTTTGGATTATCCGGTATACTGTTTTGGCAAGCACAAAAGTGTCATCGTATGGTGCCAGGAAGAGAGAGAGGAAGAAGGTGGTAACCCTTATAAGTGCCTCACTCTTTATGAATTCGATGAGCTTGGGTTAAGCAAACAAATTGAGACACAACGAGACTACGTGTTTGGCTTTGCTGCCTTTTCCTTTTGTGGCTACGTCTATGTTCCAAGTCTGGTCCCTCTTCCTTGATGAGAGGTACTCGATAAGAGCAAGAGGCTTGTTTCGTGTTCTAAGCTTTAGGTTCTAGTCTTTGTTAGATGTTAGATGTTACTGAAATTGACATTGGTTTTATTTTTTTGTATTACAATCTTGAGAGGTCTTGTCTTAGGATATGGTCCACAGTTGTATCAGTTTCAGTCATGTATATTTTTTTTAAAAAAATGCAAGTAATCGAAAGAGCTTTCTGCTCAATTTGAAAAAAAAGAAAAAAAAAATTATTCTGTGGTATATCTTGAATAAATTCTATTTATAAATACTCTTTGAGCAAAGAAATATCTACAGGATTGCCCATGGGATTTTTAAAGAAGACAAAAGCATTGCCTCTGTAACTTACTTACATTGCCAATGAGTAACAATGACCAACAACATCAACAGAGTATTTACGAAGACTTACAGAGTAAATGTTCAAGAGTGTCTCCAATGTGTGTATAGGATCCATATGCTGAGTCAGAGATGTTAATCCTTAAGGAAAGGAAGACGAGTAACGCCATTCCCCATGCTATCATCTGCTGCTTTCTTTGGGGATGAAGATGGCAACATCTTCTTGGTGGATCGACGAGGAAGTATCTGAAGCCGCGGATTAAGGTGAGTCCCGAGATTCTCCACCGCGAGTTGATAACTCTCTACCAGCTCTAGCTGCCGGACTATTATGTCTGACCGTCTAGGAAGAAGCTCCACTGGCTCACCTCCCGGTATTACAATGTATTCGATTGCTAGACGGACCTCCTGCGTTTCAGAAACACGGATATTATCATTAGCTATATAGTCACTGTGAACTTTATTGAGGCTTTTGTAACATGAGATTGCATCAATCCTAGTGAGCTAAGAGATGGTAGGTCGAAGAGTTTGATCTGAGATAACAAGCTATCACCTCTACTGGGAAAGCAGATAATATTTACAGGAGCGGGATGATAGTTTTACCTCGAGGGCATCAAGTTCTTCTAAACTGGGTTTGCTCTCTGGAGCATCATCTTTGATCTCGATATCATCAACAGAAGTTTTCTCTACGGTTCTAGGGGCTGAGCCAAACGATTCTCTCCCAAGGATCATTCGAACTGCCTTGACCATCTGAGCCATTGTAGTTGACTGCAAGGTTTGAACAGTAAGAAAGAAAAATTAAAATCTAATGATCATCATCATCAGTCATGCAAAAAGAAGGATACCTTAATGACAAATATCGGTAGCTTGTGTAATTTGGCAACACGACGGATCGATGAATTATGTTTCAATTCAGAACTTGAGGCTAGAATGACATCTGCTTCTCCAACATCATCTGTCACTTCTATGTCGTTTTCTAGGCCCATAACTTCGGCTACCTGAAGGAGATCAGCTTCCAAGACCTAAATTACAATAGAGGACCATATCTATAGTTAGTATTTTTGGCTGTTTAAGATCAAGAGTATTTTCCAAGGATTAGAAAGAAGGCACATTTAAAAGCTCGGGGAAGACAAGGTCAGGTTCTTTACATTGTAAGTGTAAACATGAACAGGTGAACTTCTTTGGCTCATGGATATGTTACTGCTGGCCTTCTTATACCGAGTGGGAAGAAAGTCTTCGTCTTCGTCGTCAGACAGCACTTCACTTGCAAAATCTCTGTTGAGCAATGGTGCAGGCTCCTCTTCAAGGTTCTCCAAAGGAGCGGGAGTCACTAACTTATGAGGAACATCGTCTTCGCCACGAATTTGACGAATCTCACATGGAGCGGATCTTCCTATAATAATAAGAAATTTTTTTCTCGGTTTGGTTTCCCCATCTGCTCGTCAATTTCACTATGAAGGGAGAAACTGTTTTTTTTTTTTTAACTTACCAGCTAGTATAGCATCAACGGTGACATCTAGCCTTTGATGAACACGGCACTCGGTTCTCGATATCATCTCGACAGCACAAGTAAATGTTGGAGGTCCTTTTCTTTCAAGAATTGTCTTCTGCACTTTTCTTTTCCTTGCCTCTTCATCACCAAGAGTCACACTCTGGGTAAAAACAATATTCAAGTGTAAGGTCGACACACATAAAAAGAGCGCAAAAGATAAGAAGCAAAGTTATAGTCAAAGGCCACACCTCAATGCCACCAATAAGGATCTGCAAAGAAGGATTCTTAATTATGTTGTCTATAGTCATCCCATGAGCAGTTGCAACAAGCTGGACGCCTCGTTGAGCAATAGTGCTAGCAGCTAATGCTTCAAGCTCTGTTCCTATCTCATCGATGATGATGGTCTCAGGCATATGATTCTCAACCGCCTCAATCATAACCTGCGTGAAATTAAGATCCTTTTTCAGTCAATCTTACGACAGAACAAGGTTAAAAGAGTTGAAAGACTTACATCGTGCTGTAAATTCACATTTGGAACTTGCATCCGCCTGGCACGGCCGATTCCAGAATGAGGAACATCACCATCACCTCCAATCTCATTTGACGTGTCAACAATCACTACTCGCTTCCTATGCTCATCAGCTAACATACGTGCGATTTCTCTGTACAAAAAAACACAAAGCCAACCAACGTTGTCACATCACAATCGCATCTGTAAATCATCATTCATTACATTATAATGAGTTCATTACCGATGCACATCCTGGGATTTACACCAATGTACCTGATTAAAGTTGTTTTGCCAACTCCAGGAGATCCAATGACCAAGATGGATCCTCCTCCTTCTATCAAGTCTCTTATGATCTCTGCACTTCCAGATACGGCTCGACCCACTCGACATGTTAGACCAATCACTTGCAGCTTGCGGTTACGTATAGCGCTTATACGATGCAAAGATCTGTTAATCCCTGATCGGTTATCATCCGAAAAATCACCAACCTAAAAATCAAAACTTTCGTCTTCTCATCAGCTCATTTTCCATCAAAAAACATTTGATTCATGCGAAACATTTGAGGAAGTAGTTGCATGTACTAGATCAGAGACACACCTTTGATACCGCAAGCTTCAGATCCTGCTGTGTCACAGGCTGCTCTGAGATTACCCAATCGCCGGAAGGGAATCTAGCTAGTGGCTTTCTCCCTAAATCCATCACAACCTCAATCAATTCCCCGATCGCCTCGTGCTTAACCAGCTCCTTCCTCGTAGCGGGAGGAAGAATCTCGAGGAAAGCGTCAAGCTCCACCGTAGGCGGCGCCGTAGCTGGTTTGCGCGATGAGATCGACGCGGAGTTCTCTGAATCTGCTGACGGTGGTCGAACATCGAAACTGAATCCATCAGAAGGTCTCCGCACTGGAGACGGCGACGCCGGAGACTTGGACGAAGCGATTCTCTGACGGGCACCACGTGTTCGACGGAATGAAGAGGAGGAGTCGGATGAAAAAGCGGTTGCGGTGGCGGAGATCAACCGGCGAGATGCTTGCCATGAGCTGTTGATGTCGATCAGAACTAGCCGCGAATTCAACGCCCTCATCACAAGTACTTTTGAAACAAAAATTTATATACTTTTAATTAAATTAATGAAAAAGATTCCGTTTTTCGTTTTTTCGAGACTGGAGTATGTGTTTTCTGAAAGCAGAAACGAAGCTAAAAAGGAGGAACTGAGGAGGAGAAAATATGAAGCAAAACGAAACGACGACGTTTACAGTCTACTATTTAGTTTTTTCTTCTCAATAATATGATGCGTGAAGACTGAGACTAGTGGAGATTCCAAAGGATCAAAGCATCTCCATGGAAACTGCATCTGTATAGAGCAAGGTAGGGTCCATTGTGGAGGGAAAGATAACACAGCCGTTTAGTCAAGTGGTTGAGGTCATGCCACGTGGACAATCAGACAAAATCTTGTTGACACGTGTCTGACTATGGAGCTGCCGTTGATTGCCAAATTTCGGGAACTCTTTGACGAACTTAGCCAAAGAGAGGGAAGTTGGTATTCCGCACGGCAGATGAAAAACTCGTCAACTTTTTTGCTCTTCAAACTTAGATTTGAATTTGTGAACCAAAGCTGCAGACTAATTTTAACCGAATAAAAACCAGCGTAAATGATTCAGAAAGTAACCAAAATTTGTGTATCTATGAGACGGTTCCTTTTTCTAAGTTGGTTTCAGTTATAGTCTGGGCTTCGAGAAAAAGGAAACATCAATGCTTACAAGTAATTTGTAATTGTTGAATAGGGTTTGGGCCTTTTAAGAAGAATTTAGCCCATTTTGGTGTTCCATTAGTGTGTGTCTCTTCACTGGAAAAAGGTGTTTTGATCAAATTTATATTTATCAAGTTGACTCTATGAACAAACCGACCTTAGCTCAGTTGGTAGAGCGGAAGACTGTAGTGGGTTATCCCAAAGAAATCTTTAGGTCGCTGGTTCGATTCCGGCAGGTCGGATTTTTTTAATTTTTCATTCTTTACTTTGGGACCCACACGCATCCATCTTTTGCTTTCCCATACAACTCGCGTGCCTAACCGTTGATTACCCAAGACGCTATCTTCGCGTAACAGATCACACTCACTATATTTCTCCAAAATCGCAAATTAGCCCCAAATTACCCGGGCACGTTTGAAAGATCCTTCTCTGATAATTTCTCCACGTGTCCCTTCTCTTCCTCAATTGTATACAACAAATTCAACTAAACGAGAGAATCTAAAAAAGAAAAAGCACGGTTGAACAAAAATCACAAACGAAAATGGAGAAACAGACTTTCCTCTCCCTTCTCTTGCATTTCGTCGTCTTCATCGCTTGTACATGTCTGTCGTCTTCTTCGATTCTCTTGAACGATCGCAGCTTCGAGATATCGAGCTTGCCTTCATCGCGCGCGGAGAAGCTGATCCGGGAGCTAAACCTTTTTCCGAAGCTGGACGTGAACGTGATCGATGGTGGTGATTCGACTCTCACTTCCGCGGAGGTACCTTCGATTGTTGAAAGGAACTTCAGATTCCCGAATATTATTTCCGATGGCGGAGCTACCGTCGAGGATTTAGGTCATCATGCTGGTTATTACAAGCTCCCGAAATCTCAAGGCGCAAGGTTTATATCTAACACCTAGATTTTGTTGTTCATGTGTATTTTGAAGCTTACTCATACCGGTAGTTTCGACATTTGTGTTCGTGAAGATTAGTAACTATCTGATTTGTTATGAGTCATTCAGAATTCGCAGCTAGCTCTGGACTAGATTGTATTTTATGTCGATTTTTGGATGACGTTTTTCTAATAGGGATTTCAAAATAGTGGGAGTAGATTAAATGTTTTTTTCCTTTGTCGTACACATGGTCGCTTGGTGTGTATAGGATGTTCTACTTCTTCTTTGAGTCACGCAACAAGAAAGATGCTCCTGTTGTAATTTGGTTGACCGGAGGCCCTGGATGTAGCAGTGAGTTGGCTATGTTCTATGAGAACGGTCCTTTCAAGATTGCTCAGAACATGTCTCTTGCTTGGAATGAGTATGGATGGGACCAGGTATTACCTTAAATTATGGTCCTCGTTGATTCTTTCCCCAATTCTTATTAGTTTGTTTGTTAAAACCGCCTTATGCTTTTGATTCTTGCACATAGCATTAACTGAGATTTTTATTTGCAGGCTTCCAATCTTCTGTATGTTGACCAGCCTGTTGGAACTGGTTTCAGCTACACAACAGACAAAAGTGATATCCGTCATGACGAAAACGGAGTTAGCGATGATCTGTATGATTTTCTGCAGGTCTGACACTGAATTTTTCCTTAACTTCCTTTTTCTTCTGAGCTTTTGTGAATACTAAAACTTTGACTTGGATAAACCTCTTTTAGGCTTGTTTATTTAGCTGTAACAAGGTCGTGATTATGTTCCTGATTTTACCCCAGGCTTTCTTTGCGGAGCACCCTAAGTTGGCAAACAATGACTTTTACATAACTGGAGAGTCATATGCTGGGCATTACATTCCGGCTTTTGCTGCCCGAGTCAATAAAGGAAACAAGGCTAATGAGGGAGTCCATGTTAACCTCAAGGCATGTGACTGTTTCTTGTTTCTCTCTTAAAGTGTTAACGGAAGGTTGGTACTCACAAGTATGATCTTGCAGGGATTCGCAATTGGAAATGGGCTTACAAATCCTGCCATCCAATACCCAGCCTATCCTGACTATGCTTTGGAAATGGGTTTAATTACGCAAGCAGAGCATGATCGTTTAGAAAAGATTGTCCCACTGTGCGAGCTATCAATTAAACTTTGTGGTACTTCCTCCCTTTTCATTATCAAGTTATGTCAAAAATTTGCTCTATGTGTTTTGATGGATCCTGAATCCGTGTTTATCTGTTTGCTTTGTGTTTTTTCAGGAACTGATGGAACAGTTTCTTGTTTGGCGTCATATCTTGTTTGCAACACCTTGTTCAGTGGTGTGATAAATCATGCTGGTGGAGTAAACGTAAGCCAAAAATAACTGTTAATTTTTTTTTGTTTTGGCTAATTGGATTTCCAGACAATACTGTTTCTGGCAACATCATGTGAAATTTCTCCTTCCTTCAAAACCCACAAGAAAAGTCGACACTTGTAGAAATCAATTTTGTTTAACCTCCGCATTTAACGTAACGGATAACCAAAAGAGTAATATCGCATTTGCTGTGTAGTATTACGACATCAGAAAGAAGTGCGAGGGGAGTATGTGCTACGACTTTTCAAACATGGAGAAATTCTTGAATCTGAAATCTGTGAGAAAGTCGCTTGGTGTTGGGGACATAGAGTTTGTGTCCTGTAGTACCAGTGTCTATACGGCAATGCTACAAGATTGGATGAGGAATCTCGAGGTTGGAATTCCCACGCTCTTGGAAGATGGAATCAACCTTCTTGTGTATGCTGGAGAGTATGATCTCATCTGCAACTGGCTGGGTAAGTTCCCAAAACATAACATAATTAAATCCAGACTTGCGAAAAATTTAATAGGCGGAATATTATTGTGAAGGAAACAAAACCAATCTTAACTAGTAAAAATTCATTTGTTAATCTATCTTTGGCATCAGAATAGGTAATTATAAACTGGAATTTTCCTTATATTTGACGCTAAAATATGATCAATTTTGTGATACATGGATACGCAAAACTTGTGGACATGATATCTTGAATTGGAGCAGGTAACTCGAGGTGGGTGAATGCAATGGAGTGGTCAGGGAAAGAGAGCTTTAAGGCGAGTAAAGAAGTTCCCTTTGTGGTTGATGGCAAGGAAGCAGGCTTGTTAAAGAGTAATGGACAACTCAGTTTCCTCAAGGTCAGGCGTTTCTTACATAAAATCAGTCTTTCTTCGATTGAACTTATCGTAGCAAGAAAGAGTTTTGATGATTTAAACAACAAAAAATAAAACAGGTGCATGATGCGGGACACATGGTTCCAATGGACCAGCCAAAAGCTGCGTTGAAAATGTTGATGGGATGGATGAAGAATTCGCTTAGTGGAGATGATGTGCCTAGTACAGAGGGAGAGGATGCTGTGCCTAGTACAGAGGGAGAAGATCTGGTTTCTCAGATGTGATCACATCACCTTTCGAATTGCAGTAAAACCTAAAATGCAGCAAACACTTGGACGTTTACCTTATGGACTGCAAGTTATGTAAACACTTGACGTTTATGTAAGTTGATCTCAAAGGAAAACTTATATGTAGGGGTTGTACAATTTCGTTAAAGTCAGACTCGTCTGAACCTTGAAAACATTTTCTAAAAGAAGAAGAAAACACAGATTTATGGAATTGAATATGTTTACAAATGTTTGTGTAATGAATTGATGGAATTGAATTGTCTACGAAATGAAATACATTGCAGAAATTCGTGGGACCACGTTAGCGTTGTAGTCTTGTAGACATTGAAATCACATCAAACCAAATTAAATGAGAACCTGGTTGGTACGATGCGGTCCAACCGTAAAAGATAGAAGAGAAACCGATTACACTCGTGCATGACACATTGACACATGACGAAATATGATTGGCTACAGAAACGATTTTTATCTCACAAACAAGATACACTCTGATGAGATAGTGGGAAAGAGCAATGTCGATTTCTTCGTTGGGGTTTGCAAACTCAAGGCCGACTTCTTCTTCTTCTTCTTCTTCATTTAGGAAATTAGTAAGCTCCCGCATCTTCGGGCTCCCTACGTCTTCTTTGTTATGGGCAAAGAACAAACCTCACCACACAAACACAGCGCTCAAGCAAATCCAAAAGCAAAAGCTCTGCGTTAGAAATTCAGCTCAAGAGATTCCACAGCAACTAGAGGAAGATTCCAAGTTTGTACCTTTGGATCCTCAAGATCCTCTATTCGGCCCTCCAGTCAGTTTCTTCCACTCTTTTAATCTTTGCCTACTGTTCAAGTCTCTGAGCATAAACAACAGTTTTAAATATGTCTTCTTTTGCAGGTCTTGCTGTTGCTTGGCTTTCAATTTCATGAAACACATAAGGTAGAATTTATAAATGAACAGAATTACATATCACACATTGCAAATCTTTCTTCTTTTTCTTTTTTTGGGGATTAATCTATCACCTTGTAATGCAGATACAAGAGCTTCTTAAGGAGCTCGATGGCGAATTCATGAAGGTAAATAGGAATAACTCTTTCTGACTCTTGCAAGATCCTAAAATTGTTGGACTAATGTTGTTGTTTTGGAGAAAACTCCAGATAGTGTTGTGTACAGAAGATATGATCCCGCGTTCGTTATGGGAAGCAGTTAACACAAGACAGACTGACCTGAAGAGAGTGAAAGTATGTGACTTCCAATCTCCAATTAAGGTTCTTTTGTGTAGTTGTTGTTTCTTACATAAGCCTGCTGTGCAGATTGCGGAGTCGCTGCCTCGGATATGCTTCTTATCTGGTTTGACAGGAGAGGAGATGATGATGTTCATTGAAGCATTCCCAGAAACTGGTACCTTCATATTCAAAACGAGTTAAGAAACAAAAAGGAACACCCATAAAGCATCTCTTTTACAAATTGGTGGCTTAACTGCAGGGCTAGAACCAGCTGTGTTTGCAGCTATGGTTCCGAACAGTGCTGATAAACCCATCTCGGAATTGATGGAAGAAATCATGGGAGATCATGAGATGTTGGTTAGTGAATCTCTCAAAAAAATGTCGCACTGAAGTCAGTAGTTTCAGCTATGGTTTTGAATCTGGATACTTATAAAAACAATCACACACTTGTTTTCTATGCAGACCGGGAGCGGTTCCAGCTGAAACTTTCGATTGAGAGAACAATAGGTCAGCTTTGGAATTTCTCAGATTTCTGCAACATGACTCTATGAGATGGGCATTACACCATGTTGATATGCACAAGAGTGTAATCTTCGAATCAAGAGATAAAATGTATTGATGCACAAGAATGTAAGCATCGAAGTAATAGCTGAAAATGAATTGATGCACAAGAATGTAACCATCGAAATAAGAACTGGCACAAGTTTCCTGGTCTAGTGAAAAGGTAATTTGGACATAAGGAGATTTGAGTTTTTTTCTGAATTTATATCCAATTTCTCATTCTCTGATAAGAGCTCTTTCAATTTCTACATGCCTGAAAATGGTTTCACTAAGTAACTCTATAAAATGCAGTATACAAACGCGAGTGTCAAGAACAGGAAAGACTTTCGTTTTCTAGTGAGAAGATATCTTCTTGTACACCATATCACTACTTAGCCAAAAGATGCAGACTCTCATCAAACATAATCTCACATGAAGACAAAACCAGATCAACTGAAAACCCACCCAGTGTCTGAAACACGCAGGAGATTGAACTTGTTCATGAATTTCCATAAAACCTCTCTCTGATTCGAGGATCTTCCAGTATTCAAACACCAGAAAGTTGAACTAACCTAATCTTCATCACTAAAGTAGCTAGCTTCCTTCCCAGCAGCCTCCTTTCTCTTCTTCCTCCTCTGTTCTTCTTCCTCTGCTTCTCTCATTCTCAGCCTCTCTCCAATGTCATTATCCACTGCCGAAGCCCAATTATCCTCCTCGAATCCCTCCGTCACAGCAGACGACCAATCACTCGATTCCTCAGCCTCTCCTTCATCGTCCTTACGCCGGCCCCTTTTCTTCGGCGGCGGAGGTCTCTCCCTTGGGCCCAATTGATTCCTTGGGCACTCATACGAAAGATGCCCTTCGTCTCCACACTCGTAGCACCTGGATTTATCCTTGTACACTCTCTTCTTTATAAACTCCGACGCCCTTCCGTTATCGGCGGCGATCGAAACCGTCAATTTCCGGCCATTAAGGATCTTCCCTTCCATGGAACGCGCCGCTTTAGCCGCGTCTTCGCGAGAGACGTAGAGAACGAAGGCGACGCCACGGGAGCGGCGAGTCTGGCGATCCTTGAGAACGGTGACTCGAGCGACCTTGCCGAAGGTGGAGAAGAGCGTGTGGATGTCGGAATTGGTGAGGGAGAAATCGAGATTGGAGACGTAGAGCGTCGATTTGGATGGGGCTAAGCCGCCCGATCCGCCTGGAGCCGAGGATTTGGCGGAGGAAGAAGGGTTCGAAGGAGGTATGGGTGGTGCTGCGACGGAAAAGACGTAGCGGTCGTAAAAAGTGTCGTCCTCTTCATGGTCGCAATGGAGAGACTTCTTCTTCTTCTTCGTCTGCCCCATTTCCACTCTCTTCCACAATTATTTTACTTGTGTGTTTTGTTCTGTGTGTGTTTATATTTCCTTGTGTCTATTATTCATACCCAAAAAAAAAATATGTATATTAATATGCTATACAGAAATATAACCTTTTCTAATATAATCTACATCTTTATGATAAGTTGAGGACTTAACAAATGAGTTTTTATTGTTTGAACACTCTGATTATATAAAACCAGAGATAATTTAGTAATCTTTTGCACCCGATAGCCAAATCCATTGGGGCTTGGTCGGAGCTGAGAGCAGAACTACACGTATTGCGATGTTCTTGTCTTCATCAAATCCCGAGTTCTCCAATGATTGCTTGAGTGGGGTTTCGTTCGTTCATTCTCTTCATTCATTTCTGTCATCTTTTCATCGTTTCTCCATCTAAGGAACCACCTACATGGATGATATAAATGGATCAAAAGAGGAACAATGCCTCCCAAGAGTGACTGACACAAACTAAGAAGGTTTAATACCAGAACTCGATGCAATTCCTGTCCCCAACCACTCGCTTTCCTCTTGCATGCTGCTGCTTCCTATCGCCTCTACTATCGCAGCTTGCTCAGAGGCTTTGCCATTCCCTAAAGACTCATGGCTTATAGTCTCTGACACGCCATTATTATTTTGATTCAGCGGCACCGGTGCTTTAATCCTTCTGTGCAACCAAAAAAAAAGGTTCTAAGAAATTGTCTATTGATAAGTGAGAGAGATTACATAAGATCTTTGTAGTTTACCTGATCAGTTTCCGCTTCAATGCACCGGATTTCACTTTTAATATACCTTCTCAATCGAGAGAAAAGGAAAATTTGTCATTACTGGTTCTATACTATTAAGTAGGGAGAGTAACTGTACAATCAGGAATTATTGAGCCTAACCAGATTTTGTGCCTGACGATGATGATGCTGGCTTGCGACCGGTTCGCTCGGCTTTTATAGAAGCGATGACGGAATCAGCTCCAATTCCTAGACCTTTTCTTCCCACCAGCTTCACTCCAAGTGTCTCGCATAGATAGTTAAGTCTCTTTTCATCACCACCTCTGACTTCTCTCAGGTCAAGAGCCTGTTGTCTCGTCAATAACGTATACACCTGAATCTGTTGCTGCTGATTGAAATGCGACTGAAGCTGCTGAAACAGTATCTTGTTTGAGTGCTGATCTGCTATTGGGTCGTCGTTCCTCTTACGAGGCTCGCTTAGCGTTACCCTCAAAATTGCAGGAGCCTTTGGGTCCGGATTCCTACGACTAAAGATTATTGAAAAACTCCCAAACTCCAGATCAGGGTCCCTGAACAAATCTGCAAGAAGGGTAGCACAAGAATGAGGATTCTTTGAAGGGTTCCTATCGATTCTCTTCCTTATGCCTCGGGCCTTTGCAGATTGAGCCATGTTTGCAGCTTCTCGCAGACCAGTAACGAAAGCTCCATGCATGGTTGCAGGGTACCTCCTTGTCGTTGCTTCCCCGGCAAAGAAAAGCCTTCCATCTCCCACACTTTCTGCTAATATGTCGTAATCATCACCTGAAGCTCCCACTGCAACATTAGAGTAAGACCCTAAACTGAATGGATCCCCGCCCCATCTGGTGCAGACCGTTTGAATTGGATCAGGGACATTTATTCCTTGTGGTTCATACATACCTGAAATGCATTAGGATGCAAAAGTGTGGCATACTTTAGCACCAACTTCAAAAAATATGGAATACAAATTCTTGACCTAATACTAATGCTGGACCTACATATCAGGGTTGAAATCTTGACTGAACTTAAATGGAGATTGATTAGGTTTCTGAATATAGTAAGACTATTACCCCTAAGAATCTGAAGGACACGAGTCACTGCGTCAGTGGGTGGCATTGTCTCAAACTTATGAGCAGCTTCTCCCGCAACCAACGCGATCAATAGAGGACCACCTGCAACTGGGGCATAGCTATAGAACAGAAAGAATTCACCTCGATAGTTCGGATCCTCAGTAAGATGTCCGAAGGTATCGAGATCTGTGCTCCAAAATACATACGGAAAGAGCATTGCAACTTTATTCAATAACCCAAAACCTAATCTCTTTATACAATCAAGCTTTCTCTGAGGCAATTCCGGCACAAATTTGATGGACCCATTTTTCAGGACACCAAGGGGAACTGTACACAGCACCATATCGCCCTCATACACTTGATTTCCAGCAGTTACCTTTACACCATCTGCACCATATCTGATTGTTTGAACAGTCTTCTCATATAAGATTGGTACGTTTTCGGCCAAAGCATGAACCAGCCTTCCATTTCCTCCAGGCAGAAAGCAGTGATCTCCACCCATATCGTACGGGTCATCTTGATCCCAGAATGCAAGAGAGAGCTTTGATACTAAACCCGCATTTGCATATTCCAAGTTAGCAAGATGCCAGTTAAACAAACTCATCTCCTCAGTGGCCACTGCGTCCGCGTCCCCATAGACTTGCCTGAATGTCTCGAGTGCTGCCCCAAGGGAGACATCCATGGAAACATCACCCATCAACTGCCTAAGTTTACTTGCCTTGTCTAGAAGCCGGTTAAAAGCTGCCTCGACCTTCATATCAAGATCTGGATCAACCGGTTTACCATCCACTTTATAAAGAGGACACTTATCTCTTACCTTATAAAGAGAAGAACCTAGCTGCCTGGCTATAATCCCTAGAGGATTTCCTAATGTTCCAGTCAAAACACTTCCTCCTAAATCCGCTGCAGCGCCTACCCTATTACCTTCCATCTTCTTGGTATAAACTCGACCACCGGGTCGTTTCCTACCCTCCAAAACCGTGACTTTAAACCCAAACCTCAGCAGCTGCCTTGCCGCAGCTAACCCAGCCAATCCAGCACCAACTATAACCACACTAGGCTTGCTTGCTTGAGCAGGAATCTTGTCTTTAATTGCCTGTGCTATACCGAAATTGATGTATCCATGCATAACCAAGTAATTATAAGCCGAATCCAAGAGACTAGAGCAATGTTTAGGAATCGAATCAAGAAACATCTCCTTTGTGACCCAACTAGATATATTTTCACGCCACTTGGATATGATATGGTTCCTAATCAAGATGTAATTCACTTGTTCGATGCCTCCAACCACAGGAACCACACCGAAATCAATCTCTTCTTCGGTAAGCGAGTCAGCAGGAAACCCAGCTGTGAGAGCAAGCAAAGCTTCGGTGGTAGCCTCTTTGTTGATCGTGATGATCTCATCACCTATCCCAGGATGATTTTGTAGAGCATGTTTTGATCCATTGACCTCAATGTTCACTCTACCGGGAGAAGAGGCTGAAGATGAGACGAGATTACTGTTACCGGGAAGGACACCGACGTTAGGAACGGGAAGGATGTGAAACGACGACGCTGAGCGCTGTGACCGGCCTCTTCTTCGTTTCTTTGGCGCGGAGAAGGAGACCATCTGCTCAAAACTAGGGCTAGAGATTGAGTTGGAGATCGAACTCGGAGATGGAATCAAACTTGGGTCTGAATTATGATTCGAGTTCGATTGTGGCGGAGGAGTAGGAAATGGAGAGGGAGATACAGGCGGGACATTATCTTGGTTCTTGTCCGGTGAATTCATCTTTTCACCGCCGTGGAATAGCCGGAGAGTGGTCGACGAGATGGAAGAAAATAGACGGAGGAGGAAAAAAAAAGAATTGATCTTTTCTTTGCTTAAAAGATTTTTTTTTATTGAATTGCATGAAATTTTTTTTACCAAGATGTCAAAGGCCTAGTTTTTACAAAGCCCAGTGGCATATGGGAAAATACCAGTGGTCCGTAATCCGTATATATCTTCGAGACTTCGACCAGAAATTTTAAAGAATATAGAATATACATACATCGATCGTTAGTTTTTTTTTTTTTTTTGGTAAAATGTTAAGATTTATACCATTTTCTGAATGTTGCATACAACTTATTAGAAAAAAAACAAATACAACGCTAGTTGGGAGAGCTAATAGAACTGAAATAAACTTCAAGGATATATGAACATATATTAAAGAAAAAGATGTTAATATAACAAAATAAAATCTAAAATAAAAACGTGCTAAATAGAAGAAGTTATTGTATGTATATAGAAGAGAAGAAGTGGAAAATAGAGAGAGCAGAGCAAAATATATATTACCAAAAGTAAAACGAGGGAGAGCAGAGACAAGAGGCTCCATCGTCTAATCAGAGAATCTTGTATTCTTGCGAATTTATTTTAGGTGAAAATTTTTCTTTTGTGATAACAGTTGGGACAAATTTAATCCCACCAAAAATGCCCAAATGGTTTTGATAATGTAAAATTAAAATCATCTAAATTATCTGAGCGTTTATGGTGGGACATTGTGTTTAGTCATAAGAGCAGAATCATATAACCAGATGATCTTTCACGGTTTATGAAAATGCAAAACTATTTGACTTTCCTGATTAGTGTAAACTTTATTCTTCCGTAACCATCTTAGAAAATGTCTTTAGAAAAATAGATATAAGGAAGAAAATTACTTTTTTTTTAATTACTCAGATTCATTAGTTCATTAGGAGTATCTAATATGGACTCTATGAGCAACTTCCTTAAAATTTGTTTTTTTCTTAAATAGATTTTTAATAATCATCCACCAAGAATTGTTCACTTAGGAATTTCTTGTATAGTTTGCATCAGACCACACCCAAACTGTTAATTATATAATTGTTTCCCACAGGTGAAACATATTATTGTGCCTTAAAAATAAGTATTTTTTTACAAATTACATGTATCTTAAAAAGGAACTTTTGTTTTTGTCGATTGAATTTATTCAAAAAGGGACCCTTTTAAAAAGGAAATGCGACTATTTTCCCACATATAATTTTATGTTGGCGTTATTATTATTATTTTTTATGATGTCGTTATAAAAAAAAATTATGTCATCAACAAATTGGGGAAATTGACCCAAAAATAAAGAAAACACATTGGGGAAAAACAGAAAACAGGGAAAATCAAAACCGGAAAAGGTAGAACAGAAAAAACAATTAGAGAGAAGAAAAGTCTGGAAAACTAGAAGAACTTCGAACGAGAACGACGCGTACAGATTTTTCCTTCCTACTTCTCTATTTTCTCGCGATTTAGTTTATTCTCTTCGTGATCGGTGACGCACTGATCAGATTCGATTATCTCAGGTAAGATTCGTAGCTGAATAACATCTCGTTTTTCGATTTTCCTCTCTAGATCTACTTCGAGGCTTAGTGTTTGATTGGTATTATCGGTTTCCATATACGCCAATTGCCTCGCCATCAGTTGTAATTGGATAATATTTCTCTGCTTACATGTTAGATCATTCGCTATAGGAGTGACGATTGAATGTTTACAATGTAATTTATGATGTGTGCTTTTATGTTCACTAGATTCTTCGTATTTTGTGTGGATATTGAGCATCGTGATTCAACGTAGGGATTCTGTAATAGCGTGTTCTCTAGCTCATGAATGTGTGATAGCTCGTGTTGAGTTTTGAACTTGTAATTTCAGCTACGGAGAGCTTGATTGGAATGTGCTGAGGAATAATCATCTGGGCTCGACCAAGCCAAACGAAACAAGTTCGCCAGTATGGGAATTTTCAATGGTTTGCCTGTCCCCTCGGATAAAACTGTAAGTCCACTTTCCTCACTCCCAGTTAAGCAATAGAGCCATACGTTCGGCCTTAGAGGAGGATTTTTTTTTGGTTCAACGGTGTTCTTCTTCCCCTTAGGAATTTATAGGGACATAAAGTATGTCGGAAACTTTCTTAATTCTCTTCAGCAATGGGTTGGACTTTACTGGAAGATGTGATTCATGGGCTAGATAGGAAATCGACTGGAATTATCACTGCTTTCGATTTCTTTTTTTGGATTACATGTGTGTGTGTGTGTGTGCCTGAGTGATGATGGTTATTGCAGTACCTTAGGGATGAGCTGGCACGAATAGATGAGAGCTGGGCTGCTGCACGCTTTGACTCTTTGCCACATGTCGTCCATATCCTTACGTCAAAAGACCGTGAAGCTGACATTCATATATTAAAGGAACAAAGTGATGTTGTCGAGGAGGTTGTTGATGAAGTTGTGCACGCTTATCATGGTGGTTTCAACAAGGCCATTCAAAACTACTCCCAGGTTTCTAATATATGTTTGCTCTTCCTTTTTTATTGCATAGTGCCTTCTTATTATTTCTAAAGCAGCAACCAGAAATACGTCCCATACACTTCTGTTATTGTTTATTGATACTTTGATACTCAGATTGCGCGTTTGATTTACAAATCTACCATCCATGCTAAACTATGGCTGCGTCTAGATTTCTAAATTTAGAATATCTTTTCAAATAATACTAGGAAAGAAATAAAATATCTAGTAAAAGGTCATTCGTGAAGTACCTTGATTTGATTCTCTCTTCTTTTGCCCTCCTTTTATTGTATTCCTTATCAGATCTTGCGGTTATTCAGTGAGTCCACTGAAAAAATTGGCGACTTGAAGCACGATTTGTCAGAAGCGAAAAAGAGCTTGGGTGCACGCAATAAACAATTACACCAATTGTGGTACCGTTCTGTAACATTGCGGCACATCATCTCACTTTTGGATCAAATTGAGGGCATTGCTAAGGTGGTTGAATTAGCTGTAACATTTCTTAGTTGTTTTTTTTTGTTTTTGTGTGGACAGTGCTTGCTATGTGTTTGCGCTGCTATGAAATTATATACATCATTCATGATAGCACTCTGTATTTGTGATGATACTTTTGTTGATATGTTTCCAATATATACTTACTTTCTTATACTTTGTGCAATATGAAAGAAACTGCTTTCTGATGTAAAAATGGTGGCTCTGCCTCCCTCAACATGAAACAGGTTCCATCTCGTATTGAGAAGCTTATTGCTGATAAGCAGTTTTACGCTGCTATTCAAGTGTATCTCCAGTCGTCTCTGATGCTTGAGCGTGAGGGGCTTCAAACGGTAATTTCCTAACTGTCAATGTCAACTAATGCTGAAAAAGCAATCTCATGGGACTCTTTGGGTCTTCCCATTCATTTGTCAATTTGATATCTACGACTATTTTGTTATTAATGCGTTGAAGGGGATCTGGTATCATCTAAGTTCCATTGGACCTTTCGATTGTCCCTGTTTGAGAGATCTACTGTTCACTTGGATGTTGTACTCATTGATTTTCTGGTACGTTCACATAGGTTGGTGCTCTTCAAGATGTAAGATCTGAGCTAACTAAGCTGCGGGGAGCCCTTTTCTTCAAAATTTTAGACGATTTGCATGTACACTTGTACAATAGAGGTGAATACAGGTAGGTTTCTTTTCAGCTTATATAAATGCATTACAGAAGCGTGCTGTTTTTAATCCTTCGTACCAGTGGCCTGCTTACTTGATAGTGTGCCTCATAACTTCTGTTAGTGCAAAAGTTTCGGTTCTTGACCCTTGTTTATGCTGCAGTTCAGTTGCGTCAAGCATATATGAAAAAGACGATGACGTACCAACAACAACAGCTGTTGCAGCTAGTCGAATGAGTTCACAACCACTGTCTCGTAGAACACGGACACTGAAAGGTGATAGTCAGTTTGGTGTTAGAGGGCTCACAAATGGTTCACATAAAACGGCTTCTATTGATGAAGGGTATGATTTAGGAACTTTTCCCTTCAGTTGATTCTTCATGGTATATTATGAACATTTTTTTCGTGTTTAAAGATTAGCTTTATTCTGAGTGATCATTGATTATCAACTGTCTGTTAAGCTACGGTTCTCCACAGAGGCTCTCGTGGCTTCATTGTAATATAGAGATTACCATACTTAAATCATTTCTGTAGTCCCTATGTGGACTTCTTGCAATTTCCTTTATGAAAAATTCTTGCCAATAAAATAAAGTATGCTGTAAATTGATATGGCAGAATTTGCTTTGCCAACGTATGGATGTGTGCTACCTTTGTTCTGATTTTATGAAATACTTCGCTTGTTTAGACACACCTTGACCTCGCTAATGTGTGTTTCTTCAATCACATATGTTTCTTAGTTCATCATTTGATGGACATGATGAGGAGGACTCTGTAGAGCATGATGAAGCCACCGCAGATGGGCATACTGTCAGGAATAGCACTGATAAGAAATTGCTTTCTTACCAACTTCCGCCTTGGCTTTCTGATTCCACTCCTGACGAGTTTATTGTACGTGCTTGTGACGCGGTTATATAATATATTATCTGCCCAAGTTTTTCAGTGCTGTGAGATGCTTTTTCTCCTGTTTCAGGAAGCTGTAAGAAAGAGTGATGATCCACTGCATGTGAAGTATCTACAGACCCTTATTCAGTGTCTCTGCATGCTTGGCAAAGTTGCAGCTGCTGGTGCTATCATATGGTTGGCTTTCTAATATTTTTCATTTTTTCTTGGTTTTAAAAATGCGACGGTTTCTGTTTTACAGCTGACTACATTTATAAAAACTTCACTCTAATATCTTTCAGTTTCAGATCGCTAGCAGTGGTCCCATTTTGTTAGTTAACTTATCACCGATGTCATCACTAGATACTATCTTTATCAAACGTATATGTGTAATTTTGGGCAACAGTTAACGTTAATCATTCTTAAAGTTAAAGTTGAATGGGTAGCTCAAAAGTCGATGCAGCTCAAATATTGCTAGTTTTCCATTCAAAAATGTTACTTGATGGAAATAAGTTCATTTTGTTATAGAAATTGTCTAACTTTCTTAGTGATGTTTTTCTATTATCTGCAGCCAAAAACTTCGACCCACAATTCATGAGATCATAATATCCAAGATTAAAGCCCATATGGAGACTACAAATTTGTCAAAGTCAGCCTGTAGTCAGGGTGATCGAACGGTAGCTGCGGGATTGCATTTTATAAAAGGACAGTCAGAGGCCTACAGAGTAGCAAAAGAGAAACCTCAGAATGGGATACCAAATTCAGGAATTCACCTGGCTGTGAGCCCTGTTTCGCCTCTTATGGCTCCTGGAGGCATAGCGCAAGCTGCGGCAAAAGAACTTCTTGACTCAATTTTAGATACTATTGTCAAGATATTTGGTGAGCAATTTAACTCGTAAACTCATCTCAATATTTCATTTTCTATAGTAAAAGCTCAAAATTTCTATTACTGTTACTTCTGTAGAAAATCATGTTGTTATCGGAGAGCTTTTGGAGTTGAAGGCTTCGCAACATGACATTAACACACCAAAGTCATTGCCTACTGATGTGAATTGGAACACCGATTCTGAAGCATCCCAAGCTACTGGAGGCTACACTATCAGTTTTCCCTTGACAGTCTTACAGGTACGCCTATTGATTTTAAAATATCTACATCTCTCGTGAAGCTAAGTGTTTATGAATCTAGATTGAACTACTGGGTTCTCATACGTAAGCTTATGGAAATTCAATGTGTTAATGGTGAAGAGTGAATGCCAACAACTCATTTGTGAGATTCTGCGAGCAACTCCAGAAGCTGCTTCAGCAGATGCTGCTGCACAAACTGCTAAACTTGCAAAGAAGGCTCCGAAGAAAGACAAAAGGCAAGTGACTCCCAAGCATTGGTAGTTCATACATTTACTGAGATGGATTTCTCATTATCATGTAGATACAGAGACAACAAAACATGTCACGAGAATTAGACATTTAAGATTTTGTTCTGATAAGCCTCATTTCCATGTACAAGATTGTTTCATTGGGCTGTGAATCACCTGATATTGTTATTCGGTCATATGGGGAGTATGTTAGGGCATCGATTTCTTCTGATGATCTAATAAGAAGGTTTTACGAAACCTAAGTCTGGAAATTTGTCATGGACTGCAGGGATGCACCTGAAGATGGGCTAACATTCACTTTTCGGTTTACAGATGCAACTGTATCGATCTCTAATCAGGGTATTAATCAGTCATCCTGACTTTTCTTTAGTTATAATGCCTTTGGTGGACTTAATGACATTGTGTTCTGCTAGCAGGAGCTGATCTCATTCGTCAAGGCTGGGGAAAGAGGGCTCCAAATGCCTCACAGGAAGGTTATGGATCTGCAGCTGTTTTGCCTGAACAAGGAATATATCTAGCTGCATCTATTTACCGGCCTGTCCTTCAGGTTTTGATTCTGGTCTTTCTAAGCTATTTCATTTCAACTGTTTTTCAGTAGACTTATGATCTTTCGCGTCTTGCAGTTTACAGATAAAATCACTTCAATGTTGCCCAAGAAACATTCCCAGCTTGTGTAAGTTCAAAATTTCCGCTTCCCTCTGCAGGCTGTCACCCTGGCAAAGCTAAACACTTTGCTCACTGTCCAAAATGAACGTTGATATTATTGTTGTCTCATTTGCTGAGAAGGTGCCAGTAATTTCACCATAAAGTTTTAATACTTGATGCAGGAATGATGGATTGCTTACATTCACTGAGAACTTTGTGAAGGACCACCTCTTACCGACAATGTTTGTGGACTATAGGAAAGGCGTACAGCAAGCTATATCAAGTTAGTTCTCTAGACTGTAGAGATCTATCATAGAGGTTTATATGTTACTACTTTAGAGTAATTCTTCTCTTAAGGTATACATAGAATTGCATCTTGCAGGGTGTTAATAGAAGCAAGCAATTGCTTGCAAAACTAATTGAACTGGGGCAGTTTTATGAAAAGTTAAAGCGTCTTTGAGAGTTGTTGCATTTCAGTAATTTATGCAAATGAAGTACCAGTAGTGCCAAGTGTGTATATCTGCCTAGATTCCCATCGTTCTCAATTCATTTTGCAGGTGCCGCCGCATTTAGGCCCCGCGCACATACAACAACTACTTACACCCCAACCGTAGAAAAGGGCCGACCTATCTTGCAAGGTCTTTTGGCAATAGATCTCCTTGCAAAAGAGGCATGTTGTCTATTCTTTTAAACTGGACGCTAAACCTTTTACTTATCACATTTTTTATCTGCCGTAAAAACAATGGATTAGTGCATCACAGTATCAGTTACTTCAAATTCATCATTTAATCCATTTTTGTGTTCTCAGTTTGATGATATTTCTGTATTGATGAACTTACTTGCTCTTCACTTTTTCTTAGGTTCTTGGTTGGGCTCAAGCCATGCCTAAATTTGCTTCTGACCTTGTGAAGTATGTTCAGACATTTCTTGAGAGAACATTTGAGAGATGTCGAACATCATACATGGAGGTATGGATCTTCCTCGCTTTTCATTTATTTTCGTCTTCTTTTTACTCTTCCAATCTATTTATATATTTGGTATCTGGTTTAGGGTATAGCACAAAATCATACACTAAAACAGCATGGTATGATTTTGGAAAAAAAAAAAAAATTGGACGTGTATGAGTTAGATGATATGACCGTGGTGGATTGTAGATTTTACAATGTCTTGAACATCGTGAAGCTAGCTAGAGTTCAGTTTGAGCTACGTGAAAACTGACCTACTTAAATTAAGTAGCAATAGTATTATGTTTTAGGATTTTCGCATTGTCTTGCGTAGCCTACAATGTAAATGTAGGTTGTTTTACTTGCTTGTGAGAAGTCATGTAGCAGAACTTGCCATTAAATGCGCAGAAGCAATAATACTGAGAAAGGTGGAAGAATTTGGAGTTAGCCAATCCTATATGGCTATATGCGCCTTTATCCCTATTTGATACAAAACTTCATTTCCCTTCACCATTTTCTTACCATTACCAATTCTATGCCTCAAGTGTCCCAAAATGTAAAGCGATGTATTTCTTCCATTATGCACACTTTTCTGAGCGTAAGTTCATTATTAATATATCAGGCTGTTCTAGAGAAGCTCAGTTACAGGCTCATCGGGAGGCATGATATTGAGAAATTGATGCGACTTGATGCGGCGAGTGCTTGTTTGCCATCTCCGCTTGGTCATGTTGTTTCTCACTCCGAGGATGTTGGCACCGAAGTAGAACTCAGTGAACTATTCTTGAAATTGCGGCCTATCAAGCAGGTAAATTTCATGTGTTGTCTGAAACTTATTCTAGTAAGAATTTCATTTGGTGAAGATTATTGAAGTGTGTTTCTTACAGGATAATCTAATTCGTGATGACAACAAACTGATTTTGTTAGCCTCTCTTAGTGACTCCCTTGAATACGTGGCAGACTCTATAGAAAGGTCAGTTCTTTGGATCAGATTCTTTATGCATGCATCGTAGGAAAATGGATAGCTAAAAGACTCAACTAGATTGATTGCTGTCTTTTCAAGCTCAATGTTAAAGAAACTCAGAAACCTTTACGTTCAATGTTAACGAGAAACTTGCATGTTTTAATGGGGCTTCCTTTAGTCCTCACATCCTCCCCTAAGTATCAAGCAACTGAAAATTCTTTCTGAAGTTTATTTCCCAAAATCTTTAGGCTTGGCCAAGCAGTTCCTCGGGCGGCAAGTCAAGCTGAAAGTAATAGCAAGAATCAGGCAACTTCTCCTAGGAATCTGGCATCATTTGCTGAAGAGTACAGAAAACTTGCGACTGATTGCCTAAAGGTTCTTCGTGTTGAGATGCAATTGGAAACAGTCTTTCATCTTCAGGTATGTGATGGATGGTTACCTTTGCTAGGAGGGTGTCATGTCTAAGAGAAATTCAATCTGTGGCCTGTAAAATTTACGAAATACTTTGGTGCTGAAAAAGGAAATGACGAATCGGGAATACTTGGAGGATGAGATGCTGAGAGCAGACGACTTTGTGATTTCTCTACTCACAGGTTAGTATATCACCTAGTTTTGACCTGGTTTTGCGAGATGATAATCTTGTCAACCCTATATTTCTGCACCAAGTTTTTTACACTTGCTGTTTTTAACAGATAACACGTAGGGACGAGGGAATGGCTCCTTTCATCTCTGGTGAGAAGCGTAATTACGTTTTTGATGGTATTTGTGGAATTGCAGCAAATGCGTCCATTAAGGTACACCTCTTCTTTTATCTTTAAAACCGGTTCTTATTTACTGGAATTTACAAGATCTTCTAATTCTATATCAAATGTCAATAAACCATATCACAGTTCTATATATAACGTTTGATCAGCATCTTCTAAACCGTAACAGTCTCTTATTACGTATTTTTTTAGGCTTTGGCTGACATGAGATCAATCAACCTTTTTGGAGTTCAACAAATTTGTCGGAACACTATTGCATTGGAACAGGTAAAGATCCAGTCATGTTTAGGTGTCGATTCTCAATTTTTAATAATTTCAAATAGTTCACTGTCTACATTTGTGTATTCGCAGGCCATGGCAGCTATTCCATATATCGATGGTGAAACCGTACAACAGAACCTGGATCGTGTCCGTACTTATTTTGAACTACTAAACATGCCATTCGAGGTTAGCAAAAACAAACGTATTTGTATCTCTTGATTTCTCCTTCGGTTTCTCAGTATTCTTAGACTTAGATGTTTATCTGATTTTCTGCAGGCGTTGCTTGCATTCATAGCGGAACATGACCAAATGTTTACACCCACAGAGTCTGCTTCTCAACTCTCTATTTACTTTTTTAACATAAACTTACGGAAATAAACACAAGATTGGGGGCTTTTGTTTGACCAATTGAAATCAAATTCTTTGGCCTGCAGGTATTCCAATCTTCTAAAGGTCAATGTTCCTGGAAGAGATACTCCTCCAGATGCTCAATCTCGCCTTTCGGAAATTCTTTCTCAATAACATCAACTTCCCGAGCCATTCGCGGATTACCGTGAATAAAGAAAAAGCTTCTCCAGCAGCCAAGTCTGTTTCATTGTTTTCATAAGCTGCAGAAAAAAAATCATAATGGTGAAATCCCAAAGGAGAAGCAAGAGACGTAAAAATGTATATCATCTTCGATTCTTCGTGCTTCTGTTGCGGTAATAGTCCGGTTTCAGTATCTTTTTCGTTTGCTTTTTTTTTTTAATAACTTTTGTCTAGTTTCATGAGTATTGTTTTGTGGTGTCGGATACGGAACCAAGACCTTTCTTTGAGAGCTTTGTTTTCTTGAAATTCTTTGGTAGAGATTTTGTTGTATAAAACTTGCCAAGGTGAGTTCATTTTCCTTCCAAGTGAAAACAAAAACAGAGAAAAAACCACTATATGTATCTACTATTGGATTGATCTAAGCGTTTTAATTACACACTCGTTATCAGAATCACAATCTTCAAGGTGAAATTACTACTTGCTTCTTGACTGTTAATCTCACAGTAGCGCCCTGAGCTAAGCCTGGTGTATAACTTCATCATCGTATAACTTCATCATCTTCTGTAAATATATATGGCTTTGAATCTCACTTCACTCTCACTCTTGATTGTATTGTATACATCGTTGAAATGAATTACGATTATAAAAAGAAGAGTATCTCAGAATCGACTAAACTTAATTATTGACGATTTAACGTGTATCTCTGTGGTCAAACAAACTTTCTGACACTGCTGATTCAGAATCTTTTTATACCTCTCGAAGACCAATATATCCCAACAAAGAAATTGCTTAATAAACATCCGTCTTGGGTCCCCATTTAGAAGACAAAAACAAGTTGTTTGAATCCAAGAAACATTTGCGTTGTCGCAGTATAACTATTATTCCATCCGTACAGTATTTGTTATTTATTCCTTCTCGCTAATCGCTACCCAGAATCCAACAATTGGGAAACAGAAAATAATAAATTCAATACAGTAGTTTAAAAATTGACTTCTCAGTGGCGGCTTTCAGTTGTGTTTGCCATCGTGAAACTGTGCGTTTTTGGAAGACTTGAAAGTTTGAAGAAACTCTTTAGCCTTTTGCAACTCCTGCTTCTCCCTCGACTGGTCCCACTTGTGTTCACTTGCTAGAATCTCCACCACACGCTGCAACGCCCGTGCCGCTGCGTCCGTGTCCAAGAACGCGATTCTACATCTCCTAGCTATGAAATCAACCGCTGATTCGCAGTACTCTTGCCTTGCACAGTAAGCAACCTCTGCTTCCAGAAACGGATGCCCGTGTGCTAGCCGTTTCCCCAAACCCTCCTCCTGACATTAAAGAACCGAACGGGAACCAGATCATAAACCGAATATAGCCAGCCCCTAAAAATGGTATGAAGATGGAAAAACCGAACCTGAGCTATGGTGGCGACTCGGTCAGCCATTGAACCATAGGCATGAGACAAATGCTTAGCTGCAGCTGTGTCCATTGCTCCTGGAACCACTTTACCACCATAGGTTTTTTTCATGCGCACGTATTGCTGTGCAAGAGCTGTGAAGGAAGATGGTTCCCATCCATAAGAACCCAGAAGCTGTAGTTTCTGTGTTACACATTCATTGGTTGGATTCAGCTTTCCCGATTTGATTGCTGCATCAACCGCATCTTCCGCCATGCTGAAATGAATTTACCGATGAGCGCATAATAACACAACTTTGAAAACATTCTGCTTATTTTCTACAACTCTCTCACCTTCGGTAAGTTGTCCATTTTCCACCTGTGATTGTAACTAGACCAGGACATTCCTCGATGACAACGTGGTCTCTGGAGATACTCTCTGTGCTCTTTGCTGTTGGATCCATTGCCAGTGGACGGATACCACTCCAAGCCGAAAGAACATCAGTACGTCGAACCTAGTGAAATTTTATTTTCAACTGAATTGTCGATTAAAATTGATTATTCATCTCTAAGCTGAATCTGGACATACCTTAATGTTAAGATAGTCGCTGATTGCGTCCAGTATAAACTGAATCTCATCTTCATGAGGTTCTGGAAGTGCAGTGATTGACGTGTTAGAGTCTGTAGTGCCTGCTACTGTTCGTCCCAACCACGGCAACATAAACACAACGCGACCATCCTTAGTTTTAGGGACTATCAAGCCCATCCCTTCTGGAGAATAGTAATCAGGGAGCACGATGTGTACTCCGCTACTTGGACATATCATCGGTTTTGTATCTTCATCAACCATCTTCCTAATGGAATCACAGAACGGTCCAGCCGCATTCACAACTACTTTTGCATAGCTATCAAATTCTTGGCCTGTAGAAATAAAATATCTCATCAACAACTGCCCAAATCATGGCCGAGCAGAGGTATGTATACAAAATTCAAGAAATTGCTATTTTTAAAGTACCTGTGAGATTGTTACGAACCCGGGCACCAATTATTCTCTTAGTAGCATCGTCTGTGATAAGCGATACAACCTCGGCATGGTTGAGAACTGCAGCACCAGCTAAAGCGGCAGTACATGCCAAACCCACATTCAGACGTGAATCATTCATTTGCCCGTCATAATACACAACAGTGCCCCTCAAACTCTTGTCTTTCCCTTTCCTTGCAAGAGTGGGGAAGAGCTCAGCAGACTCTTGTGCAGAGTAATATCTGGAAAGATGCAATAGTCGTGGTCCTGCGACCAAGTCATACATCTTCAATCCCATCCAGAAGTAGATAACTTCGAACCAGTCAAAACAAGGAGTCATACAGGGCAGAGCATGGCAGAGATGTGGCGCATTCTCAATGAGCTGTTTACGCTCCTCAAGCGCATGGAATACAAGCTTCAGCTGTCCATAATCAAGATTGAAAACAGCTTTCTCCAAGTAGCGAACCCCTAATTAACATCAGTGTAAACGAACACTAACAATTATTGAACTAAAAAAACAATTATACAACAATGAGAGGCAGAAAACCAAGTAAAAAAGCCGTAATTTCTACAATTATTCCTCTCGAAATCCAAACATTTTCGTTAGCGAATTGATAATGCGAGACTTCACCAATTTTCCAGCCCTTAAATCTAATTTCCGCTAGTTGAACAACCAAGGATCGTGAGCGCCTAATGGATGATCACATCATTCAATTCCAACTTGTAAAACAAGCAGTTGTTACATTCAATCCCATGTTTCAGAGAGCTTCTTATCCGAATTTCGAATACCCAGCGCCACATACAAAATTCAAAAACGAACGATTACCTCCATGAATTAGCTTAGTTGAACGCGAAGACGTCCCAGAGGAGAAATCCTCCCGCTCTACCAGACCAACACGGAGACCGCGTGTAGCAGCGTCGAGGGCGACACCAGAACCGGTGGCTCCACCGCCAATGACGAGGACATCGAGAGGATTAGAAGAGCTGGCTCCAATCAGAACAGACTCTTGAGCAGATCGAGAAGGTACGGAAGCGGTGGGATCACCAATCCTACGCCTCAATGAATCTAGAATCGGACCACCGCCTCTGTCGCTGGAGGCAACCGACGGGGCAAGGTAGACAGCGCCACCGGATGCAGCGGCAATTACGGCGGCTCCGACGGCTAAACGGCGAATAGAAGCGACTGACATAGAAGATCGTGGAGAGAGAAAAAGAGGGACAAGAAGATTGCGTTAAGCGATCATGGGAAGAAGAAGAAGGAGATGAAGAAAAGATGTTTGTGAATCATTAGCCAAAAATGGAATGGATTCTACTGTAATGGCAATTTTCAATGAAACTACGGTTTCACCCTCTCAGCTTACCGTGCGGTAACATGACGTAGGGGTGGTTCCGTCATTAATCTCAAATAGATTTCCGAATTCCAAGGAAAGTTTGAGTGGGCTGCAAGAGTTTATTGACTTTCTTTAATAAGCCTTTCAGTTTTTAAAAGGCTGTTAAAAGTTATACTGTAATTATGAGAGTGTGTTTAAGAAATTTTTATTACTACTACATGATTTGCGTTAACGACTTAACGGTTTTAACATTGAGTTCACTAGAGTAGACTAACTATTTTAATTTTTAAAAAACTACAGTATTTATATAGTTTGGGAGAGGTTGTCCAAGAAAAATTAAGTCGACGGTGTAAAAGAGATCAGCACCTAAGCGGCTAATTATAAACAATAAAGTCCATTGGGCTTTCTCATGAGCCTAGTCTTAAATTTTTGCGAGTTAGTGGTAGAGTGTGCTACTAATAAATGTCGGTTGTGCTTTGCAACCCGAGTTCGATCATCACTTAATTAACACTTTAACAAAAAATTATCGATATGTTTGCTCCGAACATTTTGGTTTACGAAAAAAAAGGGACCGAATTAAACGAATTTTCTTTCTTGTAGGTCGTCATATAAGAGAGATTCTCGATTTCAACGAGGTTTTCGATCATTAATTAATGATTTAATGATGTAAGAGAATTATCCTTGTCCATGAAAATGAGATAGATAAGATCATAGATCCATATTCCATACAATAATGGCTTCTTCTATCACCAATTAAGATTAACTAAAAAGTAAGAAAAAGACAATAAAGAAAAAAGGGAAGAAGAAGAGATAGATATATGGAATTTAATAGAAGTGACAGTTTGGAAGAAATACCAAGAGGATGAAGGCGATCTCAGACTTCCATGCTTGGCCTTATTTGTCTCTTTTTCTTCGATCCCTTGCCAATTTCTCATTCTCACTAGATTTCTTCTACCTTTAAAATCTCACTTTGCTCTCTTGAGTTTCTCCAACAATGGTCGTCATCGATATCGGTCTCCTGTTTCATCCTCTGCGTTTTGTGTTAGCGTGAACGAGATCGTTTTCGAAAGGTCTTCGTACACATTGAATCGAGAGGTGATTACTTTGATCGCGATCGGATTCTCTGATCATTTCTTCTTTAGAAATTGATGGATTCTTCGTTATTTTTGGAAATACCCACCGACACGAAATTGTTCTGGTTTTGCAGGGGCTGATTAGGTCTCATATAGATTCGGATGAAAGGAAGAGATGGTTACTGATAGCTACATGGATACGAGATCAAATATGACAAGTGTGAATCGAGGATCCAATGTGGATCTCGAGGATCGGTTCCAGAGGGAGCTCGAATCTTTGCTGCAGCAACATCGTAACCGGCAAGGATTTGGCCGAGAACGAGAACGAGACATCGATGTGCACAGAAGCGGAAGCGCGCCACCGACGGTGGAAGGTTTGTTGAGGGCCATGGATAATCAGTACTTGAACAACTCTGATTATAGAGATTCTGGTAATTTTAGCACTAGCAGCACTAACAATGGCGTCGAGCTTTTGTCCGATGATGAGTTACGTTGGCACCCTGAGTATCTCTCGTATTACTATTCGAATGAACACTCAAATCCGAGGTTGCCTCCTCCGTTGCTGTCTAGAGAAGATTGGAGGGTTGCTCAAAGGTTTCACAACAGTGAGTCTGTGTTTGATCCTGTTGGGGAATGGAGGA